CAGTCGTTTTTGGATAATCTTCAGCAGAACCTTGCTTGCATGTGAAATCAAAGAGATTGTTCTGTAGTTTCCACACTCAGTTGGGTCGCCCTTTTTTGGGATGGGAACAAATATAGATCTCTTCCAGTCAGTTGGCCAAGTGGCTGTTCTCCAGATTTCTTGGCACAACTTGGTGAGCACATCCACGGCAGCATCTGTTAGCTGAAATATGTCAATTGGTATACCATCTATTCCGGGGGCCTTATTTTTTGCTATTTCCTTCAAAGCAGCTTGAACTTCTGCCTCCATCACCATAGGCTCTGGCTCAAATGCTGTTTCATTAAATTCTTCTGTATCTGCCAATTTCTTTCGATACAATGACTCAGTATATTCCTTCCATCTTCTTTTGATACCTCCTGGATCATTTAACATTCTGCCTAAAGCATCATTGATTGTAGCAACTCAAGGTATGAATTTGTTCTTCAGTTCCTTGAGCTTAAGAAATGCTGAATGAGTTCAGCCCTTTTGATTTTCTGACTCTAGCTCCTCGCACATCCCAAAATATCGTAATAAGGGAAGAAGCATACAAGTGTGTGAAGATGTGAGGGAGCTGGAACTCCATGAACGGCTATTGGGTATGTAAAATTGTATAGCCACTTTGAAAAATAGTTTGACAATTCTTTAAAAAATTAAATATATCCTACCATTTGATCCACTTATTCAATTTTTAGAGAAAAGAAAGCATGTTCACACAAAGACTTGTCCCTGAATGTTCATAGCAGCTTTATTTGTACTAGCCACAAATTAAACTTTCCTAATTGAATAGAGAAATAAACTATAATATATCATTTGACATATTTCAACAAACAGATGCTTCCCTGGATGGGCTCACTAGATTGTGCCAAGAAATCTGGAGCACAACTGTCTGGCCAACTGACTGGAAGAGATCCATATTTATTCCTGTTCCCCCCCCCAAAAAAAAAATGATCCAACAGAATGTAGAATTTGTCAAACAGTATCATTTATATCACACAAAAGCAAAATCCTGCTGAAGATTATCCCAAAACAACTGGCACAGTACATTTAATAAACTACCAGAAGTATAAGCTGGGTTTAGAAGAGGCTGTGGCACTAGAGACATTATCACCAATGTCAAATGGCTCTTTCCTGAAAGCAAAGAATACCAGAGGAATATCTATTTATGCTTCATTGACTGTGCAAAGGTATTTAACTGTGTAGATCATAACAAATTGTGGCTAACCTTGAGAAGAGTGGAAATCCCAGAATACTTAATTGTGCTTGTGCTAAATCTATACTTGGACCAGGAGGCAGAACAGAGCCAGGAAATATTGCATGGTTCAAAATTAGGAAATGAGTACATCAGGGATGCACCCTGTCTCCATACCTTTTCATTCTGTATGTGGAACAGATAATTCAGGAGGCTTAATGAGGAGGAGTGTGGCATCAGAATTGTAGGAAGGCTCATCAACAGCCTGTGCTATGAAGATGACACAGCCTTGCCAAAACTGAAGAGGACCTGAAGCATTTGCTCTACAAGGTCAAGGACTGTGGTTTTCAATATGAATTGATGCTTAACATCAAGACATAGATTCTTATCACTCAACCATTTGGCAGCACCATGATAGATTGAGAAGAGATTGAGATTGTTAACAGTTTCAGCTTGCTCACCTCCACAATCAACACTCTTGGCACAAATACTCAGTAAATCAGAAGATGAATTGCATGAGGTAAATCTGCTGTCAGGGACCTTTCCAGAGTACTGAGAAGCAACAGTGTCAGTCTAGAGATTAAAGTGTGCCTGATCCAGTTCATGGTCATCTTTGCAATTACTTCTGTGCATTAGAGAGCTGGACAGTGACTAAGGATGACAGAAAAGAATTGATGCTTTTGAGTTGTGGTGCTGGAGAAAAGTCTCAAACATATGATGAACCACCAGGAGAATAAATAGATATGTCTTGGATAAAGTGAAACCATGTTTCTCCTTGGAAGCAAGTATTTTGAAGCTCTGTCTCATATACTTTGGGGCCAGAAGGGACCAGTCCTTGGAAAAGAGCATCATGTTTGGAAAAGTAGAGGCACTGTACAGGAGAGGAAGACCCTGGGCGAAATGGATTGACACATTATCTGGGGCAGTGGGATTAAGAGTGGTGGAGTCATTGAAACTGGCTTAGTATAGGGCAGGGTTCAGAGCTGTTGTACATAGGGTTGCTCTGAGTCACAGGCAGTTTGACAGTACATAACAACCACATATCAGTAGATGTGCTATTGCTTAGCAGCAGAAAGGAATGAACTGTTAATGCATAGTATAAAACGGATGAATCTCAAACATACTATGCTAAGAGAAATCAAAGACTACATACTATATAATCTTGTTGTTGTGTGCCATTGAATCAGGATCTACTCATAGCTGATCCTTCATCAGGTTTTCAGAGACAGTAAATCAAATGGGAGTTGATTGCCCATCTTTGTCCCATCAAGCATCTGGTGGAATTGTACCAGGTGCCTTTGAGTTGACAGTGCAGTTCCTTACCACTAGGCTACCAGAGCTCCCTATATAATCCTAGTGCTGTGGAATTTTAGAAAAGGTTACATAAAGTAGATTGGTGGTTGCTTAGTATGCAAGAGAGGGAATACAAGGCACAGGGCTGGTGCTGATGGTTTTACTTTACAATGTATGCATGGTAAAAGCTTGGGAAACTGTATAGGCCGTATTATTGTGTATCTCTTATACCTCAACAAAATTGATGCTTCAAAACAACTATGAGATATCTTTCACCTAAACAACAAAAGAGCAGCAAACAAGTACTAGCAAGATTGTGGAGAAATTAGAATCCAGCAGTTCCACTACTAGGAATATACCCTAAAGAAACCAGAACCACCATCCAAACAGATATATGCACACCTATGTTTATTGCTGCCTTATTCACAATAACAAAGAGATGGAAGCAACCCAAGTGCCTATCAACAAATGAATGGAGGGGAGCTCTGGTGACCTAGTGGCAAGGAGCTGCAACTACAATCCCAGAGGCGCACGGTTCGAATCCACCAGATGCTCTACCGGGGGAGGAGGGACAATCTCCTCCTGTACCAGTCAGATCTGATTTGACGGTACACTCACACAAAAATAATAAAATAAAAAAAACACCAAACAAATAAAACAAATGAATGGATAGAAAGACTGTGGAATATTCACATAATAAGGAGCTCTGGTGGCCTAGTGACAGGAAGCTGCACTGTAATTCCTAAGGTACTCAGTTTGAGGCCACCAGCAGCTCCATGGCAAAAGGATGAGGTTTCTCCTCCTGTGCAATTTACTGCCTCTGAAAACCCCCCAGAGGGCCAGCTATGGGTCAGTTCTGACTTGATGGTACACAACAGCAACGACAACAACAACATTCACACAATGTAATACTGTGCAGCACTGGAAAATGATGAACTCGTAAAACATTACATAACATAGGGAAGCCTTGAGGATGTTATGTTGAGGGAAAAGTTTCAGTCACTCCTGTTATAAAGCAGGACTGATGTGGAGGGTTGGGAAGAGAATAGGAAAAGAATGGATAGATAATGAATACTGCATTGGAACAAATGAAGGAAAGAACTGTTTAAAAAGAACATATGATTAGGCATTACATGTATAACAGTACAGAATAAGAGGTACTTACATCATTGCAAAGTTGACTTGGGGAGGGAGGGGGAAGGAGATGAGGGAGAAAATTGTGCAACAATAAATGAATATTTTTTAAAAAGGTAAAAATGAAAGAGGAAAATGTGCAACAATGAATAAATGAAAGTCCAATTTTCTGTAAATGTTCATTGAAATCACAAAGCCACAACAAGATAAACAACCCAGTTGTAAAAGGGGCACAGGATATGAATAGACACGTCACCAAAGAAGACATTCAGATGGTGAACAAGCATATGAAGAAATGTTCAAAATTCCTAGCTCTAAGAGAGATGCAAATCAAAACAACTATGAGATTCCATCTCACTTCAGCAAGAATAGCAAAATTCAACAGAGCAGTAAACAACAAATGCTGGTGAAGTTGTGGAGAAACTGGAACACTTACTATTGGTGGAAGTATAAAATGGTGCAACCACTATGGAAGGCTGTATGGCGCTTTCTCAAAAAGTTGGAAATAGTAATACCATTTGACCCAGCAATTCTACTGGAGGAATATACCCTAAAGAAAACCATAACTGCCACCTAAGCAGATATATATATACCCCCATGTTCATTGTGGCTTTGTTCATAATAGCAAAGAGTTGGAAACAACCTAAGTGCCAATCAATAAATGGATAGAGAAGTTGTGGTATAGTCACACAATGGAATATTATGCAGCACTGAAAAACAACTCATGAAATATACAAAATGGGTGTCCATCGAGGACATTACGCTGAATGAAATATCTCAGTCACAAAAGGATAATTACTGTTAATGCCACTGTTATAAAACAGGACTGATGGGGGGAATTGGGAGAAAACAAAGAAAAGAGGGGATAATTAATGAATATGGCATTGAAACAGACAAGAGAGAGGACCATATAGAAGGAATATATGATTAGGTATTGGTATGACAAGAGTCCAGAGTAGGAGGTGCATAGTTTCGTGGTCTTGGGGGAGATTAATTTAAAAAGGGGGAAAAAATCAATTAAATTTTATTTAAAAAATTGATGTTTAATTTTTTGATGAACATTTAATATGCTTTGCTTCTTATGGTTTGCTTTTCTCATACCATGCTGGTAGATAGAATTAGCAATTACAGGTGTGGAAGAGGAGCTTAAGGAGGCTATGTGATGTACCCAAGGTTGCTTGGTTGTTGAAGATCAAGTGTGTCTAACATGTGGAGTTTCACACCTAGTCTTGCATGTGAAGGTTCTTTTCCATTATTCTTTTGGAGAACTACATTGTGCTCATATTCCTTACAGTTTTCTTCCTCCAGCATAATCAAGAAACAAATAGTGCGAGATTTTGGAACATGTGTCTGATATTTTCCCTAGGGCACAGTCCTTTGCGGAGCGCCTGCGCTTGGGAATTGCTGTGATTCATGGGGAAGCCCAGGATGCAGAGTCTGACCTGGTGGATGGGAGACATTCCCCACCCATGGTCAGGAACGCTGCTGCCATCCACCCCAGCCTGGAGATTCCTTGTGAGTGACCCAGCAACTTCCACATCTGCACTGTCCCTTTGCTCTCCTCTTTAGGTCCAAGGCTGGCTTCATTTTCTTTTTTCTTTTCATATGTGTTCTCCTTTCATCCTCTTGTTATGTTTTCTAATTGGCCCAGGCTGTCAGAACCCACCCCAACTGATACAACGAGTGCTCTTGGATTGCCTGTAGACATATCCAGATTGTTGGGACCTAGTGCTGGCACTCTCGAGACTGACTTTTCTTTCTTTCACTCAGTAATACAGCCTAAGGGACACTTGAACAGAAGTAAAAGCTTTTGATAGTTATTCACACTGGTGTTATTTTTAATGAAACTTGTTGGAAAAGTTTAAATGTTCCACTCAATTTAGAGTTTGGTAAATGGTAGCAATACAGTTAATTTTTCAGTCCTTTAAAATAATTGGAACTGTCTGGAAAGGAGAAAAATCTGTGGAACATATATGAATAAAGCAAAATACAAAATTTTATCCCTTTCTTTGTAGAAGGAATAGAAAAGAGAGGGTCTCTTTCTACATATTTAGATTGCTTTCCAGGAGATCTAAAGATTGAATGGTTTAATAAATGCTCAGTCGCTGACTAAAATATCAGTGGTTCAAACCCAGCAACCATTGCACAAAAGAAATACATGGTAGTGTGCTTCTGCAGATATTGTGTTTGTGTTGTTACATGCTGTCTGTCAGGAAGTGACTCGTACGTAACTCGCTAGTGGGTTTTTAGACACTTTAAATTGCATCAGAGGAGGTAGTCCATATTCCTCCTGTGGAGCAGCTAGTGGATTTGAACTGCGACCCTTAGGGTTGGCAGTGCAACTTCTTATTGTTAGGCCACCAGAGCTGCCTAGGAAGGAATATGAAGAGTGAAAATAGTTCTGATGAGGGCAACAAAATTACACATAAATTTATTTATTTATGTTTTAAAGAAACTTCTTTCAAGCTTTAATTATTTTCCATTCTGTTAAGAAAAACGTTGTCTTTGGCTTTGCCTGGGAGCTTGTACATTTACTGAGGAGGAATTCACAGATAGTACAGTTAGAGTGCCCATGAAGCAGCCAGGAGTCCATCTGGACTACAGGAGAGCACATAGGGCACTTGTTTGACCCATGGATCAAATGGGTGCTCTGACAGCCTGGACCACCAGACGCTGTGGCAGTGTCTGCTCCACCAGAGATAGCAGTGTGCCCATTTTTAAGCCTAGACCTTAATTTGAAAAGAGGGCCTACTATGAATACCTGTGTCAGAGTTTATACATGTGGCATACTTATAGAATGATGAACTAAAGAAAACTTTTGAAGTTAGGTGCCGCTGCTATTATCATAATAATAGTTAATGAAATAAGACTCTGGTTAAGGAAATAGCCATTGTTAATGTGATGGTCCTTGGAAGGAAGAGATGGGGCTTGGGAGCCCTGGGCTGGATTTTTGATTACCAGTATGTATAAAGATGGCAAAGTTTTGTCTTTCATACTTTGGACATGTAGCTAGATGACTATTCATTGGAGAGGGACATCATGCTTGGAAAGAATTGGGGAGAGAAAGACCCCCAAATAAATGGATTGACACTTGTGATGTCATCAATGGGCTTGAGTGTTTCAGAGATGATGAGAATGGCACAGGATAGGGCAGGCTTCAGGTTAGCTGTTCTTAGGGTTGCTATGAGCCAGACTCAACTTGATGGCACCTAACAACATTAGACATACTGAGGTTATGAACGCTGTTATGTGAGGCTTTGAGCTGGGACAAGTTAGTGAAAGGATTTTTTGTGTATAGACAGATAGATGCAAAGAGTGAACACTTTGTTCTTGTGTGCCATCGAGTCTGAATGGAACCGACTCATAGTTGACCCTCCAGTGGCTTTTCTCCAGTGGGAGGAGAGTGCCATTCTTCTAATGCTGAGCTGTTGGTGGAGTCAAACCCTGTGATTTTTTTTTCCCCCTTCACATTTGCTGACCTGATACCTCTATGTCTAACACTTGTTTAATAGCAAATGGATATATAGAAGGGAAAAGAAAGCATTATTCCTTTACAATTTTATATAAATATTTTGATGATACTAAGTTTAAGACGATTATTTAGCCTCTAGTTTCTTAGTTTCTTTGGAAGCAGGAGTGCCATCCACTTCCTAAACAGCATGCCTGAGGAAACTCTGTGAACTTTGATAAATGGTGATGGTTGTGGAAGGGCTTCAGGGCTTTTTTTCATGGTGTTGCAGTGAGTTGTGCTTGGCTCAACAGCAGTCAATAACAACAGTTTCTTATAGATGGGGGGAAAACTCATAAGTAAAACTTTACTTTGCTGGGCATCATTTCAATCTTATTTTGTTAGAGTTGTGGTCACTGCAGATAGTTCTGCTTGCATAGTGCATTAAAAGTTGTACCACTAATCTGAAGGTCAGGGGTTTAAATCCACTAGTTGCTCTGCAGGAAGAAGACTAGCAGTCTCCTGCTGTAAACGTATATGACATTGGGAACCCAATAGAAAAGGACACTCTTAGTTGGTATCAGTGTGAGAGCAGTCAGTTTAGTTTTTGAATGGTCACTGCTGAATACATAATATGAATCTTAGTGTCTCTCCCGGCTGCACCATGTAACTAATGATTTTTCTGGCAAAATTTTCTGGCATCCTGATCTCTAGATTGGACTGCCAGGCTACTATCTGAATTGAAGATGTTTCCTATCCTTTCCCAGTGGAACAACAAATGGATGTGGGGAAAAGGCTTTTGCTATACTTTGGCTTATTTCTTTATAAATTTTTACAAGTAAGAGTAGTGAGGTCAAAAAGTATGACTATTTATAAGACTCTATGTTGGCACTTAACAACAATAACATCAACATAGGGAGAGAGATCAGCTGGCCCAGTGGACAGAAAGCAACACTACCAAGCCAAAGGTGGGTGACTTAATCCGTGGCCCTCGGGCCTGTCTTTCATTGTTTTGTTCAGACATTCCTCTAGGTCGTATAGCCCTGGTGTACAAATTGCCATACAGTGGTAGCTTGGGGTTGCTGTGAGGCTGAACACTGTGACACTGATGTGTCAAATGTGTTAATGGTTGGTTACCCAATGCGGACAGAAAGTAGAGTGGAGCTCCCTGATTAAAACAAGCTTGAAAGGAGGAGTGGTATCCACTTCCATAATAGCTTGCCTCCAGAAGCCCTGTGAACCTGGAGAGAGGATGAAAGGCACCCAAGCGTTGAGAACTCTCCTTCATAGGGTTGCTATGAGTCGCCTGCGACTCGATGGCACTTAACAACAACAGTGTTGTCACTGTGATTTCTGAATTGCTGTACCAATAAGATATTCTTTCATCTGGACTGGGAACAAGTTCCTGGATACATGAATTTGGGAGTGTTAAAAATTGAAAAATTAAGTCAGTTTTGCTATTTATCTTGCTTGGAGGTAGGGCCCTCTTCCTACCTAAACTTTAATGTACCCTTTGATTGCTGTGTATCTCCATTCTTTGTTTAGTCCAGTGGTTCTCATTTGAGATGAGGAGATTTTGCCCCGAGGACCTTTGACAGTAGTCACAGCTGCACAGGGTGCTTTTGACCTCTATTGGACAGAATTGATGCTAACCATACTGCTGTGCACAGGACAGCCAGGTCCCCAAAGGACTTTCTGCCCTAAAATATCAGCAGTGCTAAGACTGAGAAACTCTGATCTTGACTGTTCCTTCTATAGCTTTTTTCCCTTGAATGATCTTGGTTTTTAAAGAATTGCTTTACTTTTTGGTATAGAAATTTTGTGTTTGTTTTCTTTTGACCAGTGCTGATTCCTAAAGAAAAACCTCCAATCACAGTTGTTGGTGATGTTGGAGGAAGGATCGCCATCATTGTGGTATGTCAGCCTGCTATATTACTACTTTGAGTATTTACTGTTACTATCCTATTGAGTTATTGGTTACCTATGTGCATATATATAGATGCCAGTAGACAATGTATGGCCAGCTGACTCTCAGTTAAATTAGTACCATGTGTTGGATGTTTACGTCAGCCCGTACCTTGAAAGACAACTCTTTAAAAAGTGGAAAATATTATGCAATGGCAAGGATTTGTGCTGCCAACTTGAAGAGTGGCAGTTTAAATCTACCAATTTCTCTGAGGGAGAAGGGTGGTTAATCTCTTCCCATGCAGTTTACAGCCTCTGAAAAGTGCTGGAGGATCAACTAGGAATTGGTTCTGACTTTATAACACAGAACAACAACAGTGTAATTGGTAATATGGAACATTTTTTATGATGAAGGTGGGATATAAAATTTTAATTATTTAAAATGCACATCTCACACTTGACAAAACTAATGCATAAAAAGAATACATTTAATGTCTATAAAGAATAATAGTATAATGAGTGCCTGGATTGTTGTTGTTAAGTGCCATTGATTGAAGTACAACTCATAGCAACCCCAAGAACAGTACATCTGAACTCTGCCCTATTCTGTGCCATCCTCATCATCCCTGACTTGTCCATTGCTGAAGACACTACATCAGTCCATCTCATTGAGGGTCTTCCTCTCCTTCTCTGACCCTCCACCTTTCCAAGCATGGTGTTCTTTTCCACCTTTCCAAGCATGATGTTCTTTTCCAAGGGATAGCCCCTCTTAACCACATATCCATATGAGAAAAAGCTTCCTCTATTTTGCCTTCAATGAACATTCTGGTTGCACTTTCTTCAACACATATTTGTTTGTTCTTTTGATAGTCCATGAGATATTCAGCACTCTTCCAACACCACAGTTCAAAGGCATCAAGTCTTCTGTCATCTTTATTCATTGTCCAGCTCTCAGATGCATAGCAGATGATTGGAAAGACCATGACCTAAATCAGGCACTTTACTTAGTGTTTAGACTGACATCCCCCGACTCAACACAAGAATCAGAATGCTGGTTCATCTTCTGGTCTCCTTCCCTCACCCCCTGAGGCCTGAATGGTTCTAAGGATTGTTCTTCACACTTGTCCTTACACCTTGCACACATGTATTCCTAAACACTTCTGTTGTTTTGTTTCTTTTGCTCTTTATAATAATGAAGTCTTTATGTATTTCTGTTAAGTCCTTTCTGTCTTTTTTATATTATTGAGATATATCCGTGATGTAACATGTCCATTATTCCTTTTCACTGCTGTTTGGTATTCCATGGTGTGACTGGTAAACAGTTTTTTATCTATTATGTAGGTATTGAATATAGTTTTTCCTATTTCCAAATAATACTAATTTAAACCGTTTTGAACCTATTTTTATAGTGCATGTATACAAGAGTCTCTACAGTCCTAGGAGTAGAATTGTTGGGATGTAACATAAACTAACATATGTTACATCCAGTCTTCTCCGACTCATAGCAACTCTCCACTGTGTTTCTGAGGCTGTAATTCTTAAAGGGATAAAATTGCTCATCTTTCTCTGCAGGAACTACTGGTGGATTAAAATCTGCGGAGATGCACAGCCTTTGGTTAGAACTTTCCTAGGTAGTGCCAAACTTGGTTACATCTGGGCACAACAGCTGCCCAGTTTGTTTATTGTGCTTCATATTTTTCAAATCAGAACAGGATAATAGCTATACCACTAATTTATTCCTTAGAAAACAAAATATATGGCAACAAAAGGACGCTGTGGATTCAATAGCACTTTTTTTCTTTTATAATTACACTTTAAAAGAAATTTTATTTTGCGGTAGCCTAGAAGTAGCCATGTGAGAGAAACGTGTGGATGTGTTGTGTGTCCAGGCTAAGCAGATTCTTGTCACACTGGTCAAATATCTTCTCCCCTGGCAGTCTACCCTCATTTTGGTAGAAGTCTTCTTTGTATTTTGCTTTTTTATAACTTGACAGGATGATATCATCGATGATGTTGACAGCTTTCTGGCTGCAGCAGAGACCCTGAAGGAAAGAGGAGCCTATAAGATCTTCATGATGGCAACCCATGGCTTGTTATCTTCGGATGCTCCACGGCTAATTGAAGAATCTGCCATTGATGAGGTACCAGCCTGTGCATGGCCCACACTGCTCTGACACCCCAGAGGTCTGATTTATAGTTTTAGCACATTACAGGTGACTTCAGTGTTTGCAGATCATTGGCCCTAAGCATTGCTCTTTTCCTGTGGCCACAGTAAATAATCATGATCTTTGTCATAGGGAGCCTCTGTCCCACAGTGGACCCAGCCCGGGATGCTGTCATACCTTTTACAAAGATGTTGTTGACAGCTAAGAGAGACTAAGGAGTTTCTTGATGTCATTTATTATTAAAATTGGTTGAAGCTTCTATATGGTGATGCCTGAGCCAAGCTCTTTCCATGCTGCAGATACCAAGAGTGCTAGTTGTAGAGGAAGATGAAAGGGAACAGTGTGCTAAGCTGCTTCTAGTTCTCTTGTGAACTTAGTAGCATTTTTTTGGGTCTTTTCTTTTAAAACTGCATTCTGTTTTGAAGTAGAGTTAAATCAAAGGCAAGTCAAAGGGTCAGTTTAAAGAAGACAGAGCTTTAACTTACCCTGTTTTATTTACCCTGCTCATATTAGTAAGGTCTACCTGTGTTTCACTTAATGCAAAGATGTTTGGTTGTGTGGATCATAACAAACTGTGACTGATGCTGAGAAGAATGGGAATCCCAGAACACTTGATTGTGCTAATGCAAAACCTATACTTGGACCAAGAGGCAGTCGTCAGAACACAGTACTTTGGAGAGGTCCCTAACAGCAGACTTTCCCATCGCAATATGTCTTTTAATTTCCTGGCTGCTGGTGCCAAGAACGTTGACTGTGGAGCCAAGCAAACTAAAGCTGTGAACAATCTCAATCACTTCACCATCCATCCTGATGCTGCCAGTTGGTCCAGTGGTGAGAAT